CCAGAGTGTCCCCAGAGGCCTCGTGTGTTCAGAAGTGGGGCTTTGAGGAGGTGCGTGCGTGATCATGGGGGCCCTGTAGCTCAATGTGGCTAGGAGGTAGGGCCTGGGTCGAAGAGGCGGTCACTGGGTGTGGCCTGGAAGGATTCATCTCCCTCCCCAGCCCGTCCTTTCTCTTTGCTTCCTGGCCACCATGAGATGAGTAGCTTTCCTATGCCAGGCCCTCGGTTTGTGCCCTTCCTGCATCAGAGCCAATTGAGAACTGAGTCCTCTAACTGTGAGCCAAAGGAAAGTTGTCCTCCTTTAAGGGGTGTGTGTAGGATATTGTGTCCCAGTGACAAGGAAGTGACTAAGACAGGGTTAAAACCTAGTGTTCACCAATCACAAATAAATTATGTAAAAAACAATAACAAGAAAGTACTTAAAAGAGCACCAAAATTTGACAAATACATGTTAAATAACACACAGATAAAAAATATCATAAGGAAGTTGAGGGTGATGGCACACGTTTATAATCCCAGTACTTAGGAGGCTGAGGCAGAAGGATTGCTAGGAGGAGCCTGGGCTACAATAATGAGTTCAAGACCAGCCTGGACTACATAGTGAGAAAACAAAAATAAGGGAAATTGAGAATACTTTGGAGTTGAAGGATAGGAATATATGTACTAAATTCCTAGGGTGCAGAAAGAACACTGCTTCAAATGCTTAAAAGAAGTTGTTTAATGATCTGTTTCCATCTTAGGATTCTAGAAAGAAGAGCAAATTAGTCTTACAGCAAAAAGGGAAGGAAGGAGGTAATAAAGAACAGAACTAAATTAGATAGAAGTCAAACAGTGGAGGTTGAAAAAGACTGCAAGTTAATTCTTTTAAGAAATTAATAAAATGAACACATTTTTAGCAATGCCAATCAACCAGAAAGCGAGAAAAGGCAGATTACCACTATCAGGAATATTAAGGGAATCCTGAAGATCCTGCAGAAGATAAATACTATGAACAACTTTATGTCAATAAATTTCATAACGAAAATGAAGTGGGCAAATTGCTTTTAATCACATACTGCCAAAACCGAGATTAAATGACACAGCAGCTGCATTTAAAAAGAGATACATTCATTATTAAAAGCTTCCCACTGAGGATGAAGCTCAGTGGTGCTGCACTTGCCTAGCATAGCTGAGGCCTTGGTCTCTATGTCTAGTACCACAACACAGCACAGCGCAGCAACGTGCTCACAACGAAAATTCACCCCAATGGCTTGATTCGAATTCTGCCAACAATTTTAGAAAAAACATACCAATACTGCCAAATTCTTTCAGAAAATAGAAAAGGAAGAAACACCTCTCGGTGTATTTTGTGAAGTTGCCAGTCCCTTGGTATCCAAACCTCACAGAAACGTTGCCAACAAAGCAAATTACAGGTCAGTGTTTTGTGTCATAAACCGAGACGTAGAATCCTCAGCAAAACATTGTCAGACTGAATCCACCAATGCATAAAAAGATTCACTGTGAGCAAGTGGGGTTTATCTAGGAATAGAAATTGGGTTTAAATGTTCAAAATCAATAAATGTAATTGACTGCTTTCAGCTAGTCAATGCCTTTTTAAAAAATGCATAATCCTCACAGTAGATTTAGACAATTCCCTGGCAAGTCCGTACCCATTCTTGAGGAAACGCACAGCCAATAAGGAACACAGGGGAGCTGCCTCCAAGTGACAAGGTGACTACGCCAATGGCCCCGGTTGGCACCATGGTAATGGGCAGGTGTAGAATGTTTTCCTCCTGAGACTGGCCACAGTCAAGGCGTCTGTTTTCATCGTTTCTGTTCATTCCTGGAGGTTCTGGCTGAGCGGAATAAGCGTGGTGAACAGAGTGAAAGCATTAAGCTCTCAAAGAAAGAACTGAAGATACCTGCACTGGGAGACGAGGTGATTGCTTCAGTACAAAATCGGAAGGACCCTGTAAACAGCTAGTGGAAACAATATTTGTACTTCCGTAGCGTGTTGGTAATTACCCATGTAATTCTACGCTAGCAGCAAACGAATGCACCGTGGAAGTTTGAGAAGTGTCATTTTAAAATCTTCCCTCCTCCAGAAAACCAAAAGAAATTGTTAGGAACAAACTGAACACGATGTGTGCGAGACCTGTGTACTGAGAATCATAAAACGCTTCTGGAGAACATTAAAGAAAGCTCAATGAGTGAAGAACTCTGCCACTTTGCCGAGATCAGTTCCGCTGTGGCTGTGGCTTCTGTGCAGTCCTCAGGGTGCCCCGCAGACCTCTGTGTACAGGCAGAGTTTTCAGTGCATGTGAAAATGGGATGAAGATACCCAAGACAGCCTGGAGAAGGGCAATCACCTACCTCGGAGGACTCAACTTCACGGATACTTAAGACTTGCTGTGTAGCCACAGTTCCACGCCGGTGTGAGCACAGGAGACAGGCACACACTTCGGCGCGCGTTGCTGTCAAGAGAGCCCCAAGAGCAGGGCAGCCGCAGGACAGTGTTTCCATAGAAGGCGCTGCGTCCTGGGTGCCCGGGGGGGAAGCATGGACCTCACACCCCACCACACACGACTCAGGGACCCAGGGTGCCCGTGGCAACAGGCTCAGCAGAAGGACTGAAACAGAAAGCGGCCGGAGACTACATGACCAGCACTTGGCGAGCTGGCCAAGACTTTTTAACAATAGACACTGAAATATTAATCATAAATTAAAATTGGAAAACTTGATTTTCACAAAATTAAAAGTATCTGCTTATCAAAACACCTGCCGAGATACGTGGCACATTTTTATGTGTATATATAAATACCTGTAAATGTGTGCATAGCTATACATAGGAAAGTGTATTTAAAATATTCCTAATGTCCAAAATATGGAGGTATGACCTCATCCTATAGTATAATTGTTTTTCTTTCTGGAATGCTTTTATCTCAGGTAAACAATTTACTTTTTAAAGAGTTATTCTTTTAAACTCTGCTCACAACGGGAATGCAGCAGCAAGAGCGGACTGGAAGAAAATGCCTATAGCACATGCGCCTTTCAAAGGCTTTGTGTCCAGAATGTGCAAAGCACTCCTACGCGTCAGCAATAAGAGGGTAAACTTTTAAAACCGGGCCAGAGGCAAGAAAGACGCCTTCATGGCCAGGCTCCTCCAGTGCCCGCAAAAACAGATGTAAGACACAGCCAGCATGACGCCACTGTCCCCTGACAGGAATGTCCAAGGAGAGAGATGGCAGCCGTGCTGGTGAGGAGCCCTCATGCAGTGTGCACAACACTAGGGAGCCTTCCCAGCTGCTGCCGGTTGGGCCAATGGCACCTTAATCCAGGGTCTTGCAGCTCACACTTAGGTGTCTCCCAAAGCAAGGGTGGATCTGTTCATCCACCGGCCCATCCACCCATCTGTCGCCACAAGAATACTTCGGCAAAACATCTCATAGCCATTCTGACAGCGACATTCTACACCCAGAAGCATCCAGATGCCAGTGAACAAGAGACCTCCACAGCATTTTATGTTCATCCATCAGTGCTATTCTGATTAATAAATAGAAGGACTAGCCAGGGGAGGTGGCACATGCCTGTAAACCCAGCACTTAGGAGGCTGAGGCAGGAGGGTCGCCATGAGTTCAAGGCCAGCCTGAGCTACATTGTGAGTTCAAGATGAGTTTAAACTACAAACTGAGACCCTTTCTCAAAAAAACGGAACAGAATAAAAAGAATGACTATTGATAATGTACCATGTGTGACTCCCAAAATGTTTATGTTGATGGAATGAAGGCATCAACAAATGAATAACCTGATTAATTTACCTGGCGTTCAAGAGCAGGTAAAATTCATATATGGTGTCCGGCTTCAGAATTGTTTTCCTATGGGGGGTGGAATGACCAGAAGGGGGCGCAAAAGAACTTTCTGAAGTGGGGGTTAGGCTAAATCTGCAACAGAACTCAGAGCGGGACAGTTGTGAACTGCATTTCACTCTTAAGTAAATTTTACTGCAGTGAAAATACAAAATAATCTAGACAAAATGAGATCTAATTCTATGGTTTAAATAATTTTCATTCTCAATGGGATATTGTGATCTGAAACAGTCTGAGTCTTTTCAAAACGCACTTTTCCCTGTTCAGAAAAGCAGTAATGTTGTGTTAGCCCAGCTGCCGTGATGAAGAGTCTACAACAGATGGCTCCTTTCCCACGGTTCTGCAGGCGCAGGCCGGAGACCAGAGCGCCCAGCTGGTGGGGTCCAGCCAGGGTCATCCCCTGGGCCCACACCCACGTGGTGCGGGGAGGACGGGCTCTCCGGTGTCTCCTCTTCTCAGAGCTCCACTCCCACGGCGATGCCCGTCCTCGGGACCCACCTAACCTGTCGCCCCAAAGTCTGGACTGCAGGTCCATTGCTGTGGGTCAGACCCTCGGCATGGGCCTTGGGGAGCATGATCCAATTGTGTCCACATGCACCCCACTGGGAAGAAAGCTGTGGAGAAGGGCACGTGATCCACTAGCAGCATGGAAATCACGGCCAGCATTTAGATTTATTTCCAAAGTTATTTCAGTGTTTGCAAGTTGAAGCCATTCCTACCTATGATTTTGTAGCATCGCGTTTGTTTTTTAACATCACAACATGAAAAATCTCTCTGTTAGTAAAAACCCTTCTTTGGTACTCTTTTTTAAATAGCCACAAAGGCTTCATTGAGTGGCCAGGCCATGGTTTATTTATCCGCCATCCTGTGGTTGAATGCTGAGCTACTTTGCAGGATTTTGCTCATGTAAATACTGCTGTGATCAACACGCTTATGCTTGAGGCTTTTTCCTGTAACCAAAATTCTTTCCTCAGGTTAGAACTCCAGAAAATGGAAATTTTAGGTTAAAAGGGTAAGCTTTTAAGACACATTGCCAAACTCCCTTCCAAAAGGAGGTCCAAGTTTACACTACGGTGGCTGGGAGCCGGAAGTGCTCTGTGTGCCCTGACAGGCAGGAGGTGCTCACACTAATGTGCTCTTGGCTTGTTTCCAACAGGTGAGAGAATTCTGCTGAAGCCTGCCCACTGTGCGCACAGTCCCCGGCTCTCGGCCTGGCCCGCAGCCCCGTCCCTTCTGCTGCCTGGCAGCCATTTCCCAGCATCACCTAGACAAGTCCAAGGCGGCACGTGCCATCCATCCTCAGGCATCCACAGCCATGAACTTCCTCCGGCGACGCCTCTCCGACAGCAGCTTCGTGGCCAACTTGCCCAATGGCTACATGCCAGACCTGCAGCGCCCTGAGAGCTCCACCAGCTCCCCCGCGTCCCCGGCCACCGAGAGGAGGCACCCACAGCCCCTGGCCGCCTCCTTCTCCTCACCAGGATCCAGCCTCTTCAGCTCCTTCTCCAGCGCCATGAGGCCTTCCCCGCAGGCCCCCTCTGGGCCCACGGAACCCCCCATGCCCTCCACACCTATGGTCCAGAGGCCCCGGGTCCTGTTGGTGATCGACGACGCCCACACAGATTGGTAAGCAGGAAGCCGCACGTGCTTCTCACTGGCTGGGAAGGAAGTGGCCCTGCCTGGGCATCTGTCCGTTGCAGGTCACAGCTTCTCGCCCGAAGGCTGCTCCGTAGTTCTGGTGGCTAGGAGGGTGGGTAGTTCTCGGGCAGCCAGGCCTGACCAAGCAAGGTGAGGCTGTGATGGCCTGGATCACAGCATGCTGTGTGCTGTTCTCGGGCCGCTGCAGGTGTTACCGGATGTTTGATGAGGCCCTGATGGAGCCCACCAGGAGGAGCACACACAGGAAGCAAAACAGCTGGCAACAATGACACGCTAATCTTCTTTCTTCCTCAGCTGCCTCCACACCTGCCGGTTTTAGTATATGTGCTGCCAAAGTGAGCACATCTGTACCCCTGCCTGAATGAGGCTGACCCCGGGGTAGGTCCTGCCGGGGACCCTGGGGACTATAGCCGGCTGACTCCGCTCGTCCTCTGGCCCCAGGGGCGGCAATGCTGTGACTCCAGCCCTGCTCAGCGCTGCTTCACGGTGAGGTCTTGGGGCAGAGGCCAGGCGTGTCCAGCTCTCCATGGGTCACTGTGCAGGTGGTTCTGGAGCAGCGAGTGCGAGATCAGGACAGAAGCTCAGAGATGCCCTGGGGTGGGGGTGCTGGTGACCCCCAAGTCACGACTGCGGTTGCCATCTAGCCAGACCCGGAGTGTGCAGGTCAGGACCTGAGCCCACACACAGGCGCGGCCACCGCCAGGGCGGAGGGCTGGGTGGAGTGGACCCGGGGGCACCGCTGCACATGTATCTCCCGGGGCTGGGCACCCAAAGGAGAGTAGCTGGGTGCAGGCGCTGTGTTACCCCAGCACCTGTGTGCACCCACCTCCATTCCCGGGGACTGGAGCTGCATCCTCACCGTCCTGTGTGCAGGAAGTGTGACTCAGGCCAGGCCTCCTGCCCTCCTCTGCTGCAGTGCGCATCCGCAGGCACGGGTCAGGACGCCCTGCAGCCTCTGCGCATGCGTGGGTGTGGGCGGTGGGGACCGGCTGGTTCCAGGTGCTCCCCATGGGGACAGTGTGTGCGCCTACCGGCCGCTGCGGGCTCCTGAGCCCTTGCTTCTCCTTCACCCAGCGTTTGACCTTGACTTGGAACGTTCCCTGCCGGGTGTATTATCTCTTGCTCAATTGTCAAGAAAGTTACTTCCGGTGCGGGTCAGGCGCTATGGCGCCCTGGCCCAAAGCGAGGCGGCCTAGAGGGGCTCTCTGGCCGTAAGTCCCGTCGCTGCCCGATGGTGGCAACATGGCCTCTGCGAGTTGCTGCATCTCTGCAGTGCCGCTGTCACATGTAAGTACTTAGTAGGGAAGTGCGCGTTGCTGCAGGCGCAGTGGCCTTCGGTGCCACCTCACCCGGCTGTCGGGACAGCTGCCGGGGAAGCCTGCCTGTGCGATGTGGGTGCCCGCTGCTGGGCCGGCGGCCGCTCTCCCTGGCCGGCTCCGGGGAGGAAGTGGGGCTCGGGTCTGTGTCCTGTCCGTGTGGTTTGGGCGGCAGCACGGGGAATGGGGAACAGTCACG